ATTTCAAATTTTTGTAAATAAATTTTATCGCAACGATTTTCTTCTAAGATTGAAATTCTCTATCATTATATAATTACATGTTGGATGTTTCAATTTTTGACACAGTATCATTTTCCTCGAATCAATGAATAGTAGTTTTTTACAAGGCTGAGTAAAATAATTAATTTTAGTTATTTCATCCTTTTGGAATCCTCTAAATTGCAGAGTAATTTTAATTAAAAAGTTTTTCATTTATTTTTATAAAATTCAGTTTATATTGAAATAAAATAAAAAAAAAAAATTTATGTAAAATGAACTTACCTATTTCTAAACCAACAAATTTTCAACAAATAATTCTTCCATTGTCTATTATACTTATTGTTAATATTAATATACAATATACAAAATACACCTACTACCGTCTGTTAATTGCAACAAGTATGTTTATGAATGAATAATTAATTAACTATAATGATTTAATTAAATAAATAAAACTAGCCGTCAATAAAACCCGTTAGACTTGATATCAAGAACAAATAAAAAAAAAAAAAAAAAAAAAAAAAAAAATTCACGTATGTACAAAATATCAAAGTTAATGTAAATGAATTGAGTGAAAATAATGATTACTGGGTTAGATAATAGATAAAATATGTGAATAAATTAAAAGTGCAGTAATGTTGACGCAGAGGAATGATTTGCTGTCGGCGTATCGGATGTTGAAGAAAGAGGGTGTCGCAAGTGGTCGCAAACCCAGCAGGGCATAGCGAGCATTATTATACATATACTTAAAGTTTCTTGGGGGGGATATGTTAGCCACATTCGCACTTACACATGCATACTATATTATATAAATAAAAATATAAACATAAATGTACGTAGCATACACGCAAGAAAGTAACGAATAAAAGACATAACACGGAAATCGTAGGGCGTCGCGCATAACGCGAATCGTGAATCATTGTTCTTGGGCAATGTCTGGTGAGTACCACAACAACGAACGGTGTGTCTGTCTGTCGGCCAATAACGGTTGGTCTACACAGCTCTCTATAAAATATTATATTATATATATATATATAAATATATATTTATCGTTATCACGATATCCCCTCGCTGTTATATATTGGTATACATATACCGAGCAGTCCCTTATTCACCGCAGGGTTATCCGGGTTAATCGACGTATCGTCCAACAATAATCTACTCCATGACGATCACTTTTCCAAGTTAAGACCACGGGTCTCAATAACTTACTTGGTTATTGGGACTCCATTTCACTTTTTATTCATTCCCAGTCCATTAATCATTTCATTCTATACTCCCGTGTTAATTATGCTTTTTTAATTACACTGATATACTTATTAATATTTTTAAATTCTAATCTGTCAAATCTTAAATTCTGTCTGTAAATATAAAATGTACAAAATTAATTTTTATTTTTACCATAAATAAATAAATAATTAAATTCCTACGTTACATTATTGAGACATAGACATAAACATGATTCAATTTGTAATTTATAAATAAATAAAATTCAAAAATACTTACGGTATTATATAATAGTGGTTGTAAGTTGTAACATATCCATAAATAATTTTATTCATTCGCATTAAAATAAAAATGTGCTGTAAAATTATAAAGATCGTCATGCTCCAAGTTTAAATATTATTTTAACATCTGTGAAAAATTATAAAAGGGAGTTAAATTGTGCATAAGCTATTTCATCTAGTATTAAATATTTTAAAAGTAATAATAATGATGATGATAATAATAATAATAATAAAGTTTCATATGACCTAGTGTCGTAGAGTAAATAGGCGTGAGAAACGTTTGAATTGTAAAATAACTCATTTCGATAGTTATATAGATACTCTTGTGTCTATTAATATTGTTGTTATAGAGGTGTATCGGTACAATGACGAAAAAAAATTTTTTAAATTAATATTTCCTATTCAACAACAACAACAACAATAACAATAACAACAACAACAACAACAACAACCACAACAACGGGGACACTTGACATGCCTGTGGCTATATCTGTCCATCGACTTTGACCCCGAGATCGCGAACCGGAATGTATAAACTGCATAATGGACGTTATCATTGGTGCATTTTATTACCTCGGGAAAGCCCGAGGGGCCTTTCACAAGCACATCAGAGATGAGAGTTTAGTACATATATAGAAGAATGAAAGAAGAGAGTAGTGAAAGAAGACTATAAGAAGAACTAAGAGTAAAAATAATAATAGAAAGAAGAGGAAGAAGAAAAAGAAAAAGAAACTGATGATGATGATGATATTGTTCTTATTCTCTTCTTCAAAGTTAAATAAAGGTAAAACTATACTTTTTGTGATTATTGTTTCATTAAAAAAATATAAATTGAAATAAATAAAAAATATATCTTAAATTATATAAGAAATTTTTATAAATGTATTTTCTTATATAATTTAAAAATATTTATGGTTTATGGTTTATATTTTTTCATGAGGATTATTATTATCATCATTATAATAGTTATTGTTCCTGTTTTTATTATTCGTTTATATTTCTTCCTTTATTCTTGAACGACTAAACCGTTTTCTACTTGCCTTAGCTCAAGTTTAAACTCTCCCTCGTTCCCGTTCAAGAAGACAAGAAGAAGATCCGTGGGAGGCCAACGCAAGCTGCTCTCTCGCGTGGGCCACACTGTGTCACGTCCATTTGTCCCTGTAGTAGATGAGCCGCCAAGGCGCCGAGAAGAGACCCCTTACTTGTAATCCACAGTACATATTCCACTAAAAACAAACAACACCAAGACAGTAAAAGACAATTGTTTGCTCGACAGTACTTACATACTTTACCATCAGCTATTATATCAACCATACCTTGGCAATATTTAACGCTATCATATCATTTAAAATAATAATAATAAAAAAGTTATTTATTTTTTAATAAAAAATTTCTCCTTTACTCGAAGCAAGCAAGTAAGCAATCAATTACGTTATTTGATCGCAGAACACTCCCAAATTTAATCTTCATGTCGTGACGGTCTTCTATAAATATCTATCCGTGTTGAACGGGGTTGACGACCACAACGGAACCTCCACCTGGGTGCGGCTTACTGGCCTCCCTTTACCTCTTTTCTCTCCTTCTATCATTCACTCTCTTGTTCTATCATGACACTAATCAACTTTAAAAGTAAGCTCATGGGAAACAGACAATGTTTGTCTTTCACGTCAAATTTTCATTCTTACTCTATTAATCAAACACTAAATAATTATAACTGTTAATTGCATTATTTTGGCTTTAATAATTACTGATTGAAAATTTACATTTTTATTTTCCAATTCTGTAATTTTTTATTTCTTTGAAATTTTTAAAAACGTCATTTAGATTTATTAATACATTTCACTGTTAACTTTGTTATTTCTTCCCTTTTCTTTATACTCGATAGTTATTTTAATAATATTATAGTAAATATACAATTGAGTGTAAAAAAAGCTCCATTAAATTTGTTTTAAATTTTTATTAAATTTTTTTTTTGTTCAACTTATTGATTGATAATTTTTTATTAGTCAGTAGTTCAACACTTTAAATTAATATTATAAATACAGTTATAAATAATATTAATCGATTAAACAGATTGCGTAGTGAAGAAATGTGTAAATTAAAATTTCATAATAAAACACAATTAAAAATCTTATTCTTTGCTTAAATATTTAACTACAGTTTACGTGTATTTATAGGTATATTTATATATTTATATAAGATATATATTTATATATTTATACTTTTTTTTTGTTTTCAAACATAGAATTATGTGAGAGAAGAGTGAAAATATGTAATAATTTTAATAATATTGAAGTATATTTAAGAACTTTATTATAAATTCTTACTCGATCTAATAAAATAATTTTAAACAAAATCCCCTGTGATGTTGAGACTTATAAAAGAACTAAATTTTGTTTAATCAAGTGTGTATAATAATAATAATAATTAAATTACCTATCATATTATTTATTATGAATTACAGTTAGATTTATATTTAATTGCCATAAACAAGTTTAAAGTGCTAATTTAAAGTTACTGATTGGAAAAAAATTCACTCTTCGCGAACCCTGTTCACGTACATATATTTATTATTTTTCAATTTTACCATGTAGTATTTATATATAAATTAAAAACTATCTTTGTTACATACATTGAGGGACATTTTATAATTTTTAAGAAAAAAGAAAAGCATCACTAAATTAATTCCCTCATAATCAATTGATATTATTTTATCCTTTAAATTTATAATATTATTAAATCAAATTCACCTAATTAATTTAATTTCCTACATCAATAAATGTCAATCAGACAATATTTGAGGAACATTTATATACATGGCAGCCTCACAACGCCAGTTATGATATCGTATTACAATTTTTCTTCTCTTACAATTGACTGTCATGTTCGAAATTACTTATTATTCTTCATTAATTACTTCGATGAATTCGTGTATATAATTTAACGGCCATTATCATCATCATTTCAATTACATATAGTCGACCAGATAAATTAAAACTTAATATAAAAAGATCACACTACAACAACTTTCGTTTTTAGTAATTTAAATTGTACAATTTTTATAAACGAGTTGCATTTTTTATGCCTTTTTTAGATTAAAACTAATAAAATAATTGATTAAGGTGAATTATAAATAATTAAATGTACCTAATATACACTGCATTATATCCACAGTCTCTTATATCGTGTATTTACCGTGCGTGCGCATAAGTAAATATATACTTAACATATATATATATGTTAAGTATACTTAACATATGTATATATATAATATATATATATTTTTCTTAACATGTACTTGTGTATGCATTGGGTACACGTATTTAACTTGTGTTGGCATTTTCTAATCACTCAATCCCCCACTTTGTTGTGTGAGTTCAAGATGAGGATAAAAAAATAAGGAAAGAAACGAAAGAAATACATTTAACTACTAAATAGGTACATTACGCCATTACATTGTATGGCCGACGATTATTACGAAATTGTTTCGAGCAGCCGCATTTCACTATCTCCGTCAACTTCTTCTTCTTCTTCTTCTTCTTCTTCTTCTTCTTCCTCTTCCTGTAAATAAATTAAAAAATTTCTTTATTAATTATTTTTTGAACCAACTACTTATTATAAAACTAAATAACTTTAAAATACTTCACTAAAATAAAAAATTGAAGTTATGTTGGAAAGCAAAATATAAAAATCAACAAACCTCATCAAAACCGAAGCAATTTTCCATCTCCTTACGAAGTTTTGAATCATTTTGTTGCTTTGAATTGGGCATTTTTCGTAAAGGTATCGATTCTTCAACAATTTCTTCCATTTCTTCGCCTTCGTTATCACCAGAAACTGAAACCATGCCCGCTTCTGAACTTAGAGGATCTTGCATCATTAAATCACCATCTTCATTCGCTACAACAGCCATCTAAGAAAATATTTTAAAATTAATAAATGTTTATAGGTAAAAATTTTTTTTATTATAATTCATGAATATAGAACAAAAATTAATAAAATACCTGCTCAGTCCCTTGATTATCAGCCAATTGAATAACTTCCAGAACAACGTACTGTTGACCATCAGCACCTTCGACAGCCATCATTTCTTCTTCTTCTTCTTCCTCCTCCTCTTCATCTTCTTCTTCATCGTCATCGTAACCTTTAATTTTAGAAGTTAAATCACCTGTTGTCCAGCACGTAACAATGCACAGAGATTAGTCAATGAATTGAATCATATCGTAAACATCCAGAGCTTTGTTATATTAAAACTGACTTATTCTACTAATAATTATAATAATACTCACCAGTCAAAACTTCAACTCTCTGACCGTCAATAATTTGAATTTTTTTCTGTCTGCCCATTTTCAAGGCCTGTTGTTTCTCCTGCACTGATGAATCCGGATCATGAATAGCCATGTGTCGAATGAGATTTCCCTTATGCCTGAATGCTCGCTCGCATTCTGGACATTGGTGAGTTTTTTCCTGCGGGGGTGGTGGCACATATGAAGGATTATGATAGAGATTGCAGTGCCTTTTCAATAATTGCTTCTGTCTGAACGATTGAAAGCAGTGATCACATCGATACGGTTTTTGATCGGTGTGGATCAACATATGGCTCTCCAGATGACGAGCTGAAATAGACGCATACGGACAAAGATCACATTTGTAACATTTTTCACCTTCATGTGTCTTGCTGTGAAGTTTATAACTATATCTGTCTGGGAATGTTTTTCCACATCTTTTACATTTAAGCGGCTTATCTGATGTGTGGAGCTTTTGCACGTGAATTCGTAGATCTGTTTTACGGCCACATGTCGTTGGACACAATTCACATTGAAAAACTGGTTTATCTCCAACTGTAAATATTTATAATTATTGTTAATTATTTTAAATAAAAAAAAAAAAATATACATATAAACTAACAATATCATTGTAAAAAATTATTTTTGAAATATATTTTCGATTATTGTACAATTGAAATTATATAGCACAATTATAGAAATTTTCTTTACTCAAAATTTTCGTTTATTTCAAAAAATATATAGAACCATATGATTATTATTTTTTTTTTTCTAACTTTTGGATGTATTACTAAATATTATTATTTATTTAAAATTTTTTGTCCTCAAACTGACAAGTATTCTCTAAATATTAATTTCTTTTATATCAAAATAAGTCATGTAAAAAATTGAAATAATAGCAATTAATCGCAACATATTATTATTTCTTAATTTAATTTTCTTATAGTTGATTGAAAAAAAAAAAAAAAAAAAAAATACAAACCATTATGAACAAGTTTGTGAGCTTTTAAGCTGTTCGATTGAGTAAATCGTGCTTGACATATATCACATTCGTAAGGCTTTTCGCCAGTGTGTATACGTAAATGACGTTTAAGTTTGAATGTATCGGGACTTGCGTATGTACAGTGTGGACACTGATAGGGACGCTCGCCGGTATGACACCTGATGTGCCGCTTCAATTTCGACAATTCAACAGATGCGTAATCACACTCGTGACATTTATGTGGTTTCTCGTGGGTATGGCGATATCGTACGTGCCTCACCAGCTCACCTATGAGCATAAATATAATGATTATAATTATGAATATGAATATAATTTATACATAAAGTCAGCAATAATTTAGCTGATTACAAAGTATAGAAGGAAGCAAAGCGTGTAGTACATACCTGACGTTGTAAATGCACTCTCGCAAAATTTACAATGATGTGGTTTAGTACCAGTGTGTGTATTGACGTGATTCTGTAATGACGCAAGTGTCTTGAATCCCCTCTCACAAACACTACACTTATGAGGACGTTCTTCTGAGTGTGACTTCATATGCCTCGATAGTAAATAACGCTTTGGACTCGTGTAATTACAGTAGTTACACATATGAGCCTGCGTTACAGTTTGAGATTTCTTCGGCAAATACTTCATTATTTTAGTTTTATCATCGTCAGCCTCGTACTCAGTACCGCCGTCATTATCATCGTTATCCTCAAAGTCAAATACCCTGAGATCTTGCTCTCCTTCTTCACCTTCAGCTCCCTCTCCACGTTCTTTTTCTTCATTCTCCGGTTGTTGAACAATCAACACATAACTAACTTCACCCGGATTAGTGTCCGAGGGTACTATAGTAACCGTTTGATATGCATCATTTGAATTCAAGACGACGTTCTCATCCCCGTTATTAACTTGACCATCATTATCCTCAGTTTCAAGACTCTCCAATTCTTCAACTTCGTGATATTGTTCCTCTTGTCCTTCAGCATCATTCTGGTCTATTTCTTCGACTTCTTGAATTTGAACCTGCGTCATTACGGGCGTTTCATCACTACTGGCCTGGTAGTAATATTGCCCAGTTTGGTCAACAAAATAAGTACCACCGTCATCGCCTGCGGATAATCCTTCAACTTGTTGAACTATTGTAACAAAAATATATGATTAATTTTTAAAAAAAACAGCCGTATTAATTATTAGAATAAATTAAAAAATATTATTTAAATTAAAATAAACTAACGTTGAACATGTTGTAACTGTTCTCCTTGTCCACCTTCTATTTCTTTATTAAAAGTCTCCAAGTAAGTCTGTATTTCTGTAACAGACTCTTGTCCATCTTCGAGTTTAATTGTGGTCACGTTGGTCGTCATTTTGAAACCATTAATCAGCTTTCAACAATCACGATATCTGGAATAAAAGTAATTATTAATATATGTATACATACAAATAAATATAGACTAGTAAAAAAAATAATAATAATAATAATAACAATGATAATGGTAATAATTAAAAAAAAAAAAATAAAAAATCAATTAATCAATAGAGCTAATAGAAACAAATGAACATTAAAAACGAGATCATAAAATTATTCATTATCTAACAAATAGTAAGCAGTGTTTAGTAGCATGAAATAGTTATCAATAAGCAAGGACGCCATAGCTGCGTGTAAGTGAGTACGTGTGAGTACAAGTACGAGTGGGTCTAAAGAAGGTCTTGACGACGCGTTCCCGTGGTATGCGCCCAGGCATGATGATCATCATCAGCATCTATCCGAAGCATTGGCTTTAATCAATCAGGACATCTGTACACCCATGACCAATTATTGGTATTCTTAATAATTACTAAGGAACCGCGCTGATTCAGATCTAGGTGATGCTGGCGGAGCTTTTGTGAAACACCAAAGTCAACAGGATGATTTCGATTCCAAGATACAGGGGGCATTAACGGACAAAAATTTCATAAAATTATCACTGTCGGCGCTGACATCAATATGGACGGTAAACGCAATAAGACCAAAGGATACGCGCTCCCTCGTTTACATTTAAGTGCTCCGTTAATATAATATTTAATCACTCACCAGATTGTTATAAATATTCACAACTGTACTTTGGCCACCTAACTCCTCGTTGTATCCGTAAATATATTATACTGCAGTAATAATTAATAACTTATTAAGCTATTCATGAGATAGTGTGGTGTAAAAAAGAAAAAACGTGCGGCGCCACAAAACCCAGAGCACAGGTCGAAATCTTGTGGATAAAATAATATACTATCCGCTTACCTCGAACATACGTGTGAGGGCGTTGTGTAAGAGACAAGACCGAACGTGAAAGCAATAGTTTGAGAAAGAACCCAATATGGCAGATCGAAGTTGCCGTTTTAAAGTATGCGCACTCGTTTATGCGCCGGCTTCACCTACACAGACACAAAAATGGGGATTATCATTACAAACCAATACTACTACTCGCCAAACCAACCTACCTCTTTCTCTGGGTATACAGTACACACACTATACACAATATACAGTACTCACTAGCGTCATCAATACCAATGCTTACACCTTACACTAAAAAGATACCGACGGCGGCCGACTGCCAACGAATCTCGAAAACAAGATGGAGATACCGTCTGGATGATGGGTATAAAAGTGGGGGTAAATGTGTGAACACTAAACTATGTTACTTCTTATTTGACGGTAAACCCAGTGCAATTGTACGCCATGACGACATATTTACCTTTATCCACCACCTTGCTCTATATATTCTTGTTGTTATTCTTCCTTTATATTTCACCAATATGGATTCAATTAACTGATATTATTGATTATGAATTTCGTACACTCGAATATTATTTTTTGTATAATAACGCGCGCGCTAAATACAGAGGACTCTCGGACGAGCGACTACTAACGCCAGCAGACGGGCGAGAAAGGACGCTACTACATTAAAAGGGCGGGAAACTCTGCCGGGTGGCTTTCCACTCAGTGAGAGGGGAGTTCTCAGGGTTTATTGGCCGATTATTGCTCCCACTTCATCGTTCCTCTTCGGTCATACTCGTTATCCACGGGTTTTAACGATCATTGTCGAAGTGAAATTTAATTTTTATTATTTCACGAAAAAGGTACTTTCGCCTAATTCATTTGGGAGAGTTATTTTTTTTCAACGATTTTTATAATTTGGATCTTTAAACCAGAAAAAATTTTTAATTTTATAAAATTGAAAATAGATTAAGTATTTTTTTTATTCAATAAAAAATTTTTGAAAAAGTTTAGAAAATTACATGGAAAATTTTTTTAATAATTTATATGGTATTGAATTTATTTATGACAAAATTTTTAAATTATCTGTATACCATTTTCAATCAAGTTGGTACAAATAATTTACTCAGTGAAACTTGAATACAAAACATAGTTATAAAATTAATTAAACTTTTCTAAAAAATAACCCATTAAATTTCAAGTATAAAAAATTGGTAATAAATGAAAAAATCAACGAGTACCCTGAAAACAAAAAAAAAAAATCAATTTTTTCTGAATTCTATTTTATGAATATTTATTTATAATTATTAGTCATAATAGTTTTAAAAAAATCATCAAAAGCCTTACAGCAAGGAATAAAAAGATTTTTATTTTATAAGCATATATTACAAGAATTGCAGTTATTTTATGTAAATAAATAATAATACAACAGTTTCATAACTCATTGATTTTATATAATTTTCTAACAGGCTTTTTTTTATACAAATTACAAAGTTTGCTTTTTTTTTTTTTTTTTTTTTTTTTTTTTTTATAGTGCTCGTCACAATCGAGCGATATAAATTATTTTTTCAATAGATTATAAAATATAATTACGTATAGTTAATTTTTTTTTTTTTTTTCAACAATTCAATATATTCGTGTGCTATTAGTTTTTTTTGTAAATTTATAGTTTTAATAATTGGGTAAATGTTATTTGCGCGTTATCACACCGAATTTATTACTCGTTATTATAATAATTATGTATAAATATTGATAGAAAAAGCTTATAAAAATATTTCCCCTTCACAATGCGTTTATTTATAATTATTTAAAATTTTAATATTTTAATGGATCTGTTCTATAAATTAAATAATGAAGAGGAAGTAAAAAAAATAATTACTCAGTACAAAAGGAATGGTTGTAAATGCTTTGATAAAAAAAAATTAATATATACAAGGCATTCAAATTTAAATATTAAAAAAATTTATAACAAATAAATCGTGGCACGGATAACTTGTTTATAACCAATCGGAAACGTAACATCTTTTTTTTTAGTAATTGTAGTAATTGTTTTTCAAACATTGATAAGACTAGCAGCCACAGGCCTCGTATTAAATATGTGAATGAGTGTGACAACTCTGATCGTTACCTAGTACTTGTTCAATATCTGAACGTAAAATATAAACAATCGCTACCGCAGCTACCACAGTCCATATTATTGATATTATCATTACGTGTTTAACGTTACGTAGCTCTTTATGTAATTTGCCGTGGCATTCTTCTAAATGCGCAATCTGGTAAAAAAAATAAAAGATAGTACAATCAACGTTGAATATTTGAATTAAATAATTTTAAATACTTACTTTTGCATGTAATGAATCAGTTGTTCTATCAGTATTAGTTAGGCTTGAAGATAAAGCTGATGCTGATTCATTCATTCCATCACGACAAAAAACTTTATGCTGTTCAGCTGATTTTCCATTAGTCTAAATATAAAATTATTATTTAATTAGTTGAATTACTTATGTCTAATTATTGTATATGCCTAACGAATTTTTTAGGCCATCAAGTTGAACATTGTTTCGTAATTTACTTTAATTTTCATTAAAAAAAAAAAAAAAATCACCACTTTTAGATGATAAAAATTTAATGTAAAGTCTATAAAACTGGATTAGACTTCACTCAACTGGATCAATAATCTTCAAATTTTTTCATTAATTTAGCGTATAATAGAATATAAAAAAGAAAGTTTGATGATTGACCAATTTGAACATTTTCTCTAGTCCGAAGGCAACATGGCCTTACTTTCACATATCCATAATAATTAATGACGAGAAAAAAATATAATTTACCTTCCAAAATTCAGTTAAGTCCTCAGAACTCATCTTAGAATCTTTGAGAGGAAGACACATTACTAGAAATTTATCTTGGTGTAATAAAGCACGTAAATTGAAGCCAGGTTGTAACGATACTGTTACAGTAGCCTGCATTCCCGGTGCTAATACACCAGTACTTCTACGTACTCGAAATTTCTCAGGTGCTGTTGTTTTTATCTAATAAATAAAATAATATTAATAAAGAATAATTAGATAGAAAAAATTATTGAATAAAAATAAATGAACCTTGTACGAAAGGAATTTTTCAGTAGTTGTATTTTTTAAAACAATTGTACCAATTATTTCAGGCCCTTCTTTATTGAATGAAATAACATCTGGACTGATAGCAAGCACTGAAAAATTTTAATTTATTATTAATAATAATAATTGAATAAACGCCAATAAATTAAACTTAAAAGCATACTAGATTCTTCTGAAGATTGATCACCAAATCCACTGGATGGCATTTCAGTCAATGGAGAATTTTCAGCAAAGTGAACTTTTTTGTTGTCCAGTTTACCATTGACAATTAGCGAATTAGTACGAACTTCTGGTATAAACTTAAAGACATACTCATTAGTTCCACCCCAACTTTTTAAAGCCACATTTAAATCAATTAGGTCCTTGAGCCCAGTTTTATTAACTTGTTTTATTTTTGGTATTGCTGGAGGCGGAAGCCATGATTTTATTATTTTCAAAGCTGCATTCAGTACCCATGGCAAGTCCAGTAGAATAATATTGTTCAGAAAATTTGGATAGTAATGCTTGAGAAGATTAATTATGTATTTTATAAACTCTAAATCTGTGTTAGATAAGCCCGTATCACTCATATCAAAGAATAATGTTATTTGGTCACCATTTCCCTCTCTAAATAAGTAAAAACCATTTAGCAAATCAATTAAATAGGTAATAGGTAATAAATATAAATATGCTACATAAAATAAAAATTAACCTTTCAAGTCTTTCTAGCCAGTAGATAACACATCGCTGTAATTCTTCAAAGTCTCTAGCACCTCTTACGTGTAATTTCGAACGAATAATAAACAATGTCTTGCCGTCTTTATCTTTCCCATAGCCGAAAAAAACTCCATCTTCTAAATATTCACGTCTGACATTTTCCTCGTTGATATCTGTAAACATTTTTAATAATATATATTGACTGTTGACAGTGAAAATGTCAGCAAGATTAAGATTAAAATAAATAAATAAAAAATAACCATTAGCTCCAACTTTTTGTCTCCATTCACAGCTATTCCACATCATATTAAGAGCATCATCAACCTTAAATTCGCTGTGCTCTATAAACCTTCTCAACCAGTCATCTCGTGTTTTAACTCTCACAATATCATCAGGATGAAAATTATTACCTGAAAAAATAATGGATAAAATAACAAACATGAAAAGATATTAATGACGTAATTGAATCATAACATTGGACATTGAAATGAGAAAAAATATTAACGATCGTTTTAAAAATATCTCCAATGTTAATAATTGATTAATGAACTTGTACATGTCGACCTTTGTTCTCAGTTATCCAGAAGACAAAAAATTATAAATTTCAATAAATATTCATTTTCTCATCTCAAATTAGGTTTTTATTTTCGATCAATACAGCAATATAAAAATAATAATAAAATAATTTACCTTCATCTTCCAATTTTTTCAAGAATTTTTCTCTCAATTCACTAATCTGTTGTTGTAATTCCATATTTATTTATTATTAAAAAACACCAATGATGACACTTTGACCGTTCGGACTGCAAGTGATAACGAAATAACTATATAATTTTATTAACATGTAATGGCTTAAAAAATAATAATTACATATATTAATAAAATAAAAAAGATATTGATACAGTAAAATGGATGTAAAATGAATGACTCTTTACTGTGTATTGTGACTTAATTTATAACATCAATGAACAACAACTCTTAAGACAGACTGACATATGCAATAAGTATCACAAAGATACCCAGGCCCAGACCCAGCATACCAGCACAGATACCAGATGATATTGAAAGTTACCAGCGCCTCTCTGTCGGCGTATGCTTGACGTGGTATCAATTATAACAATAACTAGCTTGGTATGTGTGGTATGATAGCAATCACTTGTCAATATATTATTTTCTATTGACAAATAATTATTAATTATTTATTGCATACACACACACACACACAACCAAACTCTCCATTTACATACATGTCACTCGTTTGATATCTGGCATCCACTATATACTTTTGGTGACCAGTTGTTGACTGTTTTTGTTGGTTTGTTTATTTATTTATTTATTTTTTTTTTTTTTTTTTTTCTTTTTTTTTCAGCACTTGATAACGTTGAAAGTTGTCATGTGATAAAAATTTTTAGTAATTGAAGAAAAAACAAACAAATAATTTAATTTTTACTTAGTAATATATGTTATTGTTAAGATATTTTATGGATAAAAGATTCATTAATATGTACTATACATACATAATATATAATATTATAACGCAAGTTCTGGATGGGAAGAAACAGAAGAAACCTCAGTGACAACTGTAGATAAGTTTACATTTTTTAAATTTATAAATTTTCTAGCTTATCGGCTAGTTTTCATTCCCGCGTTTTGAACGCACGCATGTCACACATGTCACTGATGTTTGCAATTTACTTATTATTTCACAGACAGTTCAAGTCGTTTTTTGTACTTTTTATACTTTTGCACGCCTCATAAGCGAAGCGTTGAGGTTGTGCTCTACTCTCGACATTTCAAAAAAAGCAGTTTTCTCGAAACTGAAATTGATTTTTTGTTATTTATATCACACTTACAGATTAATATGAGTACACTTATATCAAGTCAAATAATTTGTCAGGCACATAAAATTTATTTCAATAACAATTTTTTTGTTTAACATAGTAAATAATAACATTAAACATTGGCAGGGAAATTGGTCGAAAAAATTATCGTACCGGAATAATTTTTTTTTTTTTATTATCTAAAGTAACACACGACGGATTTTCTTAATTAATATGAGCGTTCGATTCACTGTCGTTAAATTATTATTGATAAAAAACTAATTTATGACTGTGGATTTTATTGTATATCTATCTATACATTTTATTATAGTATTTTTTTTCCTCATCTCAGAGTTATGACGCCGCCACTAACCATAGCAGAGTTATCTGTTTTTTGTTATTTTGCTTTTTATCATTTATTTTAAACAATTTTATTGTGAAAAATGAGATTATGAGGCGTGCGCATTTGGATTTTCCAAACTTTTTTAAAATTCCTAATGGTTCATAAAAGGCATTAACATCACCACCTATACAACCCCGAAAAATAAGATAAATAAAGTAATTTAAATATTACAGAAACAAAAGATAATAAGAAGCTGTTAACATCGGCCAATTATTTTTAAAAAAGATAAAAAATATTTATTAAATTTGAGAAATAAACTTCAGTGGTGCTATGGAATTGAGATTGATGAAAAAAAATTGTCATCCATGATTTGCCGAAAGCGCTACGAGGACTATTAGAAACAAAAGGGTTTCTCTTAATCTGCAGTCGAACAATAGCAATTATTATGAACATTTGGTATGTAATGAAAGTTAATTTAGCCGATTTTTTAGAATTTTTTAGAATTTTTGTAACAAATAAATTATGGCAAAAAAATTGACAAGTAGAAATTTAAAAAAATTAAAAATGGAATTTTTTAAAAACAATTTTTTGAATCAAATTTATTTGTTAAATAAAATTAAAAAATGTTCAAGTGACTGCTAACTTTAATGTCATTGGTATGTATGGTAATTAATTACATAACAATCATTTTTGATTTTGTATTACAGAGTAAAGCAAGTGTTTAATCCCCACAAAAAGATCCGTCCGATCGATTATTATTAATTTGTCAAATCTCAGAGGGTTTTAGCACAATTTTTTTTTACCTAGTAAGTGTTTGTGTATACTTTAAGTCTTAATGTTGTTTAAATGCTTATCAAATATAACTTTGGACTCTAGATTTATAAATCAATTTAAGTACAGGATTTTTTTTTTTTTTTTTTTTTTCAATTATTGATACCTCTACCCTCCACATACATCAACCGACACCCTCTCCCCCCATAAGTGTAAACGTATTTTGTGAACGACTCTAAATATTTAAATATGAATAAGGTCGTAAGGAAAAGTCAAAGAAGTAAATTATGTTTAAACGTTATATAGCATTTTATCTTTGATAATAAATAAAAACTAAAAAACTACTTTGTCTCTTGAAAAAAAACTGGATACCAGCATGTATGATTTATTTATTTAAAAATATGGTACATTTTTTCACTGTTGAAAAATAGGCAGCTAAACATTTATTAATTAAAAATAACTTTGTTATTAGATAATATTTTTGACAAATAAATCTATAAAATTATTTGTTTTTCTATTTACAAGTAAACAATAGTAATGAAAAAAAAAATGCCATTCGGGCTCACCCGAAATAGAAGGTAGATTTCATTCGATATAAAATTCTCTTTATTTTTGCTATTATAATTTGTTGAAAACAAAATTTTTAGAAGTTCTGCAAGAGTTTTCTTGGTGTATTTACTATTTGAATAATTATCTTGAACTAGTTCGAAGATGAGCAAAATCTATCTATGATTTTATAATAATAAATGATCAATCGTTATGTCTACTAGATTCACAGTGATATGAATATTTTGATCATTAATTAATAAGTAAAAAAAAATTAAGTTAATAAGAAATATTTAATTTTAGTTATAATATCGAAGGTATAACAAAGAAAAAAAGGTCAATGTTAAATATGTCAAATTAAAGGCAATTCCATGATCTATCTCATGAAACTTTCAAAAATTAGCTATCTTTTTTCAATCAAAAGTTGTACATCAATGAAGTGACCGAAAACGTGATTTTCACTATTTTGAAAATTTTTAATGGCCGCCATTTCTAAACTAATTGACCGATTTTGCTCATCTTCAAACTCGTTCAAGGTAATTACCCAAAAAATGTGTGTACCAAGTTTCATCAAGATCAGTTGAAAACTTTTGCAGATATCCTGATGACAAGGTCGGTTATATTACATAATATATACATGCATAAATTTTTTAACCAATGGTATTTTTGGAACTTACTTGACTAATTATGACATATGATAGCAAAATCAGGTAAAAATTCCACTATGAAGACTAGCGGAATAAAGTTAGATTCCTAACAAATATACCTAAAAATTATCATCAGACATCTGTTGTTTCAAGGATAATTTTTACTTCGATTTAAATACAATATCTTACACTTGGCACTTTAGTCGTTTTGTTTATTATTCTTAATTTGTTAATTATAGCGTCAAACAATACATCTGGTATATCATTGAATATATCTATATTATACTATAAATAGAAGTAATAAGTAATTATTTTTCAATATTTAATATCAGCAGTGATTATTATAATTTGAATCTATACTGTTAAAAACGTAGTATTAAAATAATCATTGTAATACGAGATAACATTGATTGAATATCTAACTTTGATAATTATATATTTTATGGATGGACACTATACCATACACTAATCATTATTTTTGTCTAACATTTATTCTAAGTTTGATTATTTATTCAAAAGAACACACTTAATTGCTACATTTGATAATGAAATTTTTTAAATAAAAACAAACTCAATATATTTTTTTTTTATCTCTCCGTACAAAACTGTATTATACCGCCACAAACAAAGTAATTACGTGACATAAGCATACGACGTTTCTAAACGATTATTAAATTAAGTAAATTAGTGGTTGACGTTTTTATCACTCAATGATCCATGATATATTTAGTATCTTAATTGTGTACATAATGTTGACTTCTTTATTTAATTTGATAAATATTTTTTGGATAATCTTATTCTCGCTTTCCAGATTTACTGTCTCAAAACTGGATTTTACTATTTTCGTATGTAGCATAAAATTAAAATTTTTTTTCCTTTCATAAACAATGAAATTCTGTGAATAGAAAATGTGTTGTAAATGGTTGTTTCAAAAGTAGAAAGAGAATTACCTGAGGGTGAAAATTTTAGGCTGGTTGAGCCTGGTCTGCCCAACAGATGTTTAGTTTGACTGACATTTTCTGTAATATTAAATAACTGCAAAAATTAATAAAATATTCATAATTATAATTTATTCATTATACCTAATACCTACATACAAATCTTTCTTATGTAAGCGTACAAGAAAATATATTGTTTAAAAAATTAAAAACTACTTTTAAAAAAAAAATATTTGATTTTAAAAATAAAATTATAATTTTTATTGTAAAATATTAATTTTAAAAATAACTTAAAGAAGAGTAGTATTGAAGTTTCTAAGTAATTTACTGACAATTAAAAATGTATTAGTCATTGGTAATTTGCAATATAATTTGTAAAATTTTTTGATGCATATTAGAGACTTGATGAGTCTAGACTTAGACTTAAGAAAAATTTTCATGTAATTAAAGAAAATGAATATTATCCTTAATCCAGGTATTGAAGTATCGTTAGTATTGTCACGGAGACTATTATTGTTTTCAAGATGATAATAGACCTAAACATTAAGTATATCTGACTGAGTAAATCTCAAATATTAGGGTCATAAATAGTGTACGTGAGAGTCAAAGTCCAGTACATTCAATTTAGGGTCTTGTCTACTCGCCTAGCTTCTGATGTTTATCTTCATTGTTAAGTCAAAAGTTCAGGT